CTCATTTGAAGTCAGAGTTTCTCCACCCCTGCTGAATACAGCCTGGGCGCAGTCACCCCGACCACTCCTGAGTCACCGGACAGTTGTCCAGAACCTCCTCGAGGCCGACCGAAAGTCTTTTTCCATGGCCTCACCAAACTCCTCCCACGCCCTGGATTTTGCTTCTGCCACAGTTGCAGCTGCCACCTTTTTTGCATGTCGGTACCTATCTGCTGAATCGGGAGTCCTTCGGGCCATCCAGTCCCTAAAGGCCTCTTTCTTCAGCTTGACGGCCTCCCTCACCACCGGTGTCCACCAGGGGGTTCTTGGGTTACCGCCATGACAGGCACCGACAAGCTTTTGGCCACAGCTGCGCCTGGCAGCTTCCACAATGGAGGTTTTGAACAGGGTCCATTCAGACTCTATGTCCCCTACCTCCTCCGGGACATGAGAAAAGCTCTCCCGGAGGTGGGAGTTAAAATCATTCCGAACAGGGGCCTCCGACAGTCGTTCCCAGCACACCCTCACTATTCGCTTGGGCCTACCGGGTCTAACCCTCAGTCTTCCCTGCCATCTGATCCAACTCACCACCAGATGGTGATCAGTTGACAGCTCAGCACCTCTCTTCACCCGAGTGTCCAGAACATATGGTCCCAAGTCAGATGAAACGACAACAAAGTCGATCATTGACCTTTGACCCAAGGAGCTCTGGTACCATGTACACTTATGAACATCCTTGTGTTCGAACTTGGTGTTCGTTATGGACAATCCATGCCTGGCACAGAAGTCCAATAACAATTCACCATTCGGGTTTAGATCGGGCAGGCCGTTCTTCCCAATCACGCCTCTCCAGGTCTCCCAGTCATTGCCAACATGAGCATTGAAGTCTCCCAGTAAGACTATGGAGTCTGTAGTTGGGACCCTTTCCAGAACCCCGCCCACTTGCTCCAAGAAGGCCGAATACTCCGACCTGTTGTTTGGTGCATAAGCACACACAACAGTCAGAGTTTTCCTCTCTGCGATTTTAATACGCATTGAGGCGACCCTCTCGTCCACCGGGACAAACTCCAACTGTACTGCCGCCAGCCGGGGACTCGTGAGTATCCCCACACCCGCCCGGCGCCTCTCACCTTGTGCAACCCCGGAGTAGGAGAGGGACCAACCCCTATCCAGGAGTTTGGTTCCAGAGCCGATACTGTGGGCGGAGGTGAGCCCAACTATATCTAGTTGGTACCTCTCAACCTCCCGCACAAGCTCCGGCTCCTTCCCCCCCAGTGAGGTTACGTTCCACGTACCAAGAGCCAGTTTCTGCCGCAGGGGCCTAGGCCACCAAGGGCCCCCCTGCAATCTCCCACTGCCTGTACGGCACTGCACCACTCCCCCATGCTGGACCTTGCGGGTGGTGGGCCCACATGGTCCCCCCACGTTGCCTCTTCGGGCTGAGCCCGGCCGGGTTACGTGGGCTGCCCGGCCACCAGGCGCTCGCCGAGGGACGCTACCCCCAGGCCTGGCTCCAGGGGTAGGTCCCGGCGACCCTCTCCCGGGCAGGGTACACGATGTTTTGCGTCCGTTTTTCATGGAGGTTTTTGGATCGAGTTAGTCTGGGTCTTCACTCCAGACCTGTTCGCCCTGGGAGACCCTACCAGGAGCATGTTGCTCCCGATGACTTAGCTCTGAAGATCCCTAGACCACACAAGCCCTTCCGCCACAACAAGGCCCCGATCCAGGAAGGGTGTTTAGTTTCAATGTTTAGTTTATGAAAGTTTTCTTTGAAGTATAGCACAAGTTTATATAAATTATATATAAAACCACTGGCCTGACTGCATGTCTGTGGACTGTGGGAGGAAACCGGAGCTGCGTCCAAAGTCTAGTCTGCACTTCTCGGCGCTCCGTCATAGAAGGCCGTTCTAAAGTGAAGAACCCTGAAGTATACAGCCTAGACATGCAGCCTTTGTTCTGAGTGATTTGAAGGATGCATTAGATGTTTCCTTCCAGGCCTTCAGTTACCCACAGTTCTCTGCGCATGAACGGCGCGAAGGAGAAAAGAAAAACAACACCATGAAAGTAGCGGAAAACAAAGCCGTTGGAGCAAAGCCTTGAATTCGTCTTCGTTACCTTATAATGTGTAAAATGACTGATTAATTAAAGAATTCGTCCATATATTGTATTTTATTTAGAAGTATTTGTGTATATGTAGTTTATCGTACTACATAAGATCATCTCCTCCATTTCTGTGAAGAAATGAAAAAGCAACAAACTCAATGCAGCGGCTCCGTTTTCTCTCACCAGTTCCCTCACGAGTTTGGCGCCGCTCTGGTGTCGTCACCACGCAGCCTCGTTAGGACTGCTCCATTTGTGTGACCATCAGGCTACTAAGGAGGAGTCTTCATAGGACAGTCCTACGTAGGACCCGCACTACCTCGGCTGCAGCCTCGGCTCTGGAACGCAGCTACAGAGTGGGAGAAGACATGCAGATTCCACACAGAAAAGACGCTGGTCACCTGGCCGGGGTATCAAACCCAGGTAACAAGTAAATTAACTAGTTTACTGCAGTGCTGAGAATGATCCACCACCCAAATAGTACCTGCTCTGTGAGGGTCCATGGGGGTCCTGACCACTGAAGAACAGGGTAAAAGGGGGCTAACAAAGTATCAGAGAAACAGATGGACTACAGTCTGTAACTGTAGAACTACAAAGTGCACCTATATAGTAAGTGGAGCTGATAAAATGGACAATGAGCGTAGAAACAAGGAGGTGGTCAGAATGTTATGCCTGATCTGTATATAATGTAATAATGAGATCCTGTCTCATATTTCTGACTTAGTATGTCATAATTGGTGGGGTCTAAACTTCTGTTTACTTGTTTCCATTGCTTGTTAGCTACATTAGCCTTGTAGCTCAAATGCTAAAACTAAAGATTAAGGCAAACTTGAGACACCAAACACCTACATTAGGGGGTAAGACGGAAACTGTGAACTGCCACAGACCAGCACGGCTGTTCACCAGCAAAATATGCTGTGTTTTGAATGCTGGTATCGTGATCAACCAGCATGACCATACTGGGTGACCAGCTAAACCAGCACCAGACCAGCGCAAGCCTGCTTATAATTCATGCTGGTCTATGCTGTTTTTTTTCAACAGGGTAGGTTTTTTCTCCCAACTATCTCCGTAGGACGTGTTTTACTCTGGAATTGTGGGATATTGTGAAAGAAACAGCTTTTAGCCTTATTTTTAACTCATATTTAAATAAGAGTTTCTGATGGTTTCCAGTGTAAACTGGTTGGAGATTTTCCAGAGGAGGAACTTCAGTCATGTTCATGTGGTTCATATTGGATGAGATGTGGAAGCTGTGAAACGGTTGTTGTTTGTTAGCTTAGTCAAGTTAGCATCAATCGATTATGGCCAATTAAACAGATGTTGCAGTAATCAGATGTCCCATACAGAAAACTCACATGTCGCTGTTGTCGGAACAAAACCTCGTATCTCCAAAATGGTAACTTTAGAGCAGAAGGAAAAAGCATACTTTATTTTCAATGTAAGTCAATGGAACCAGAGTTTTTTCTAAGTCATTTTGGGCCGTTTCTTTTGGTCCATTCATCATGAAACTTACACACAATATAAAGGGAAACAGGCATTTTCAAATTATGTCAAAAAGTCAAAAAAAAATAAAGATACAAGGTTTTCTTACGATAGCAGCGAAATATTTCACGTGAAGTATGTAAAAAAAAAAACGTCATCACATGTAAACAGATGTAACATACAAATGTGACCATGATGTCAGACCCTGAAACGGCACATAATCACCTTTTTTTCCCCATGTGATCACATTTGTCATGTGCATGTGAAAGAAAAAGTGATTATTCACAGGTGAAATTCATGTTTTTCTGGGGGGGGTAGTGTAAAAACTAAAAATAATAATTACAAGGATTTGATAGAAATAATGTCAGTAATAATCACTGTTAATTTACCATCAGTACAGCGTTACTAGATTACTGTTTGTCGATAGATGAGCTCTTGTTCATATTTTGAGCAAACAGCGCCGCCCTGGTGGCAGTGAGGGGGAGAGGAGGTGACCTGTATTGCGGACCCACATGGACCTGAGCAATAAACTGTCTGTAAAAACACCACCTGAGTCCTGCGTGTACTGACCAGCCATCCGAACAGGGAAGCGTTTTCAATGAGGAGACAATAACAATGAAATTTGTTTTTTTAATCGAAAATCGTTTACAGTGTTCAGGAACAAATAATACATCATGATTCATGAGTAAACAATAACAATGAGGAGTAAACAATAAACAGGTGGGAGAAAACTGTAGAAATACACTGTGTACACTGCTTCTCACACACACTGTATTTGGCATGCACTGCCTATACATTATAAACACTACAAACACTTAGAAAAACTGATGTTCAAAGAATTCGTCCGACAAATGTTGTGCTTACTTCAAAATGTTAATATACAGTGAATAAGTGTTCATTACAATCAATACCCTCAAACAGCAGCAGCTTCCTGAATAAAACCATAACCATCACCGTTAAAGGGGAATTCCACCAGTTTGTCTAAATTCCTACATAACTCAGTGTGTGAGATGTAATCAGAGTGATTCAGAGTGGTTTGGTGTGAAATGGTTCAGATCTCTTTACAGTGGTGCTGATAGGAACCAGGGGTCGCCATGACTACAACACAAATATAGACATTTTATTTACTATCCAGAACCACCAGTGAACCTACACGAGTCTTCTGAGTTTATATGGAATGTTGATGATGGAAAATAGTGGAAAATCTGAAATAATAAGTTTTCTTTAGGGACTATTTTGCCTCACAGCGCCCTGCATGTATCCCTCCACAATGAATGGAGTTTAAGTTCTCTAAACTATCATTAAACAGTGTCTCAGTCATCAGGCAGTGAATTCATAACCATTTCATGTAGTAACTTTCTGTGAGGGAGCTTTTAGAGGTGGACGTCTGGTTCCTATCACCACCACTGTGAACAGTTCTGACTCTGTTAAGTTTATCTAGAACAGAGCGTTTCACACCAAACCACTCTGAACCTCTCTGTTTACATCTTAACCAGTTAATTATGCAAAAATTTTGAAAAATGGGTGGAGTTCCCCTTTAATGAAAGCAAACCTGGGCATTAGCATTCCGTCTCCAAAGGCACTGGGTTGGAAATCCTCAGTGAAGCACCATCAACATAAAACTTGTGTCAGGCTCCATTCCTCACTGGCCAAAACTCTGCAGACTTCAGCTCCCTGCCTCATTAAACACACCTGATTCAGCTCATCAGCTAATTAGCTAATTAGCAAGGCCTTCATGAACTGAATTCAGAGTGTTAGATGAGAGTAAACGCTGATCTCAGCAGCATGTTGGCCTGGAAGGTCCCCAGTTTGACATGCCTGGCATAAAATCATCCACCAGGAACATTAAAATGTTTCTCATTTCAGTTACAGCATCTCATCACACAAAAAAGTGATCAATCAATCATTAATAAATCAATACCACCCTCGTCCCCTTATCATTTAACCCTTTCCTTTATATCAGGACTAATACATCAGTAATAAACAATAAGGCAGTTAGAAAAACACTGTAGAATATTCTATACGGTTCATCACCGACGGCAGAAACAGCATTAAAGCCTGAATCTCTTTAAAACTGACAATTTATAAAATTCATAACATAATTCTGTTTCATCATCACACGTTTACAGACCCGACAGACGGCAGTTCAGCTCCTCCACAGAGATACAGCACATTCCTGTAAGAGCTCAGAGACAGAAATGAAAACACACCGACAAACCTGCTCAACCACAGCGACTTTAGAGCCACAGTTCAGTGAAATTCTTCTTATTCTTCGTCGTGTTCGGTGTCTGAGGTTTGCTTCTTTAGTTTTAACACTGGAGCTATGAGACTAATGTAGCTAACAAGCAATGGAAGCGTATACCCACCAATTAGCCTGGTGCTAACTGCACAGCTAAATCACCTTACTCACCTGAAACTGAGTGGAGGTGTTCAGTGTCTCTAATAGACTTGATTATGTGGTTTCTGACACTGGACTGAAGTATGTTAGCATAGCTAATGTAGCAGAATTATGAACTATGTCTGTATTTTAGTCCATGTTTACAGATAACAGTCAGGTTTCAGAAACCACTACATACGTTTGGAATCATTTGTCATAGTAACACTTTCATTATTTTATATTAACAATAACTTTTTCAGTTTGGATTTAAATATTATACACTTTAGCAAAAGGTATTTTTTAGGTTTTATTCAATATTCCAAGATTTCTGTGAAGAAAAATGCATAAAATAAATAATTTACTGCAATTATTTACTTACGTTTATTTTTTGTCAAATGATCTGCCACAAGATTTAATCTTCATATTTAAAATAAGATGAATTCTGGATATTAATTTCGTTAGATTTTCATTCTTAATGTTCTACAGCTTTCTCATTCTGAACTCATTTAATATTAATTAATTGTTTAATAATTCAAATAATTTAATTTTCTGAGAGCTATGATCTACACTTTTAAAACGGATGTTTCATCAAGGGTTCTTAAGTCAAGAAAATGGTTCTATATAGAACCATGAACACTCGAAGAACCCTTGGCATGATTAAACAGTTCTCTGTGTCATGAAATGGTCATTCGGATTGATGGAGAACGTGTTGTGTATGGTTCTATAAAGAACCTTTTTCAAAATGGTGCTATATAGCACTTAAATGGGGCAGCTATTGTTAAGCTTGTAACAATAGAATAAGTCACTTTGATGCTATATAGAACCATGTTCTTTACTAAAGAACCATCTTTAAGTGTGTCCAGTTGCTGATTGATGATACTGGTATTTGAATGTGTCACAGATAATAAACAGTGGTACCGGTCACGAAGCCCGGATGATGTCTGCGTCAGGAATGTGGTTTGAGGTGAGCATGTGATGATTTAGGCGTGCAGTTAGCACCAGGCTAAAGAAGCAAACGTCAGACATCAAACACGTCTGTGTTGGGTACGGTAAATTTAACTGAACTGTCGCTTTAAAAGCCCCTCAGAGCTGGATGCTGCGTCACTGGTCTTTGCGCTGCTGGAGGCCGTTGGGCTGCAGGCCGTCCAGCTGCAGGTGGGCGTGGCTGTAACGGCGGATTACGGCGGCGGGCAGCAGGGCTGCGACGGCGGCCAGCAGGAGCTTCAGCAGGACGCTCCAGGAGAACAGGTCATCCAGAGAGGACAGGTCAGAGAGCACGGAGCCCGTCTGAACACACACGAAATTATACGGCATCAAACCTGCAGGATCACACACACACACACACACACACACACACACACACACACACACAGACACACAGACATGAGCTCACACTGCAGACTAAACTTCTAAAACTATAACTTCTAAACTAAAACTGCAGCTCAGAGCGGCTCCTGTGTGGACGTACAGCACACACTGCAAAATATAGTATCTTGTGAAGTGAAATGATCTTAAATCTAGTGGATATATCTAATATTTCCCATTTTGAGGTGGTTGTGCACTGATTATAAGATTATCTAGCTTATTTCTCAACATTATTTACTTGTTTTAAGTAATTTTATTAAGTAAAATTCTCTCACTATACTGGCAGATAATTTTGCTGGTTTCAAGCTCATTTCTTACAACAAGCAACATTATCTGCTGATAATTATACTTAACAAAATTACGCTTAAATATTAGATTTCTCAACTATATTTAAGATCATTTTATTTGACAAGACACCATTTTATGCAGTGCAGTAAATCGCTGAACACTCAGGTCCACACGTCTCTGGAGGATTTTGAAAAACACTCTCAGGTGGAGATTTCTGGAAACGTTATGTGTTTTTGGGGGACGAGCGAAACGCAGCTTTATAAAAATGGCGACGTCACACTGTTAACTGTCTGAAATACGACTGAGGACTGGGTCTCTGCGTGTTCAGTAATCTGAGGGGGGATAAAGTGTTTATTGTTGAACTTTTCTGTACTGGCAGCGCGAGGCGTCAGAATGTGCTGCACTCAGTTAAATGAGCTGTCAATATTATGAATTTCCGCCACTGGAAAAATACAGCCATTTAATAAGTCATAATAATCAGTGCGTTTACATTCACTCAATAATCCGATCAGAATCTGATTTCTGCAGTTATTTGATTATTCAAAACAGTCATGTAAACACCACACTCCGATCTAGAAACCTGATTAAGAAATCTGATAAAGAGGCTGGATTTTAGCTCAGTAACCAGATTTCTCAGTGCTGTAAACTCTTACTCTGATTTCTTTCTGATTTCTCGGTCTGAGCATGTGTGAAAACAGACAGCGGCACCGGAAATAAGCAGCAGCGTCACCGTGAGACGCAGCAAAACACTTTTGGAGTGACGCTGAAACCCAAACATATGAAATGAAGGATTTAAATATTCTTCATCTTCTAGATGATGTATGTTCATATTTTCAGGTAAAGAGACTCGATGTTTTAAAAAGCTGCGTCATGAAGTTTGAGTTTTACATTATGTTTACCTCACATCTTCTTCTGTGAGTTTATTGGCTGGTTGTAAAGCAGAAATCTGATTACTGTCTGACTCATGTAGACCCGGAGTTTCCCTATTATCTGATTACTCAAGTGTATGTAAACACGTTGGTCAGATTACTGACAAAATCTGATTTTCTGCAGTTCTCGGATTATTAAGTGCATGTAAACACACTCAATGATTTACTGTCTCATAATTTTAAGAAACGTCCCTCATTGTTATGAGATCTGAACTCAGATGAGATACCAAGCCATAATTATGAGATAGCAAGTCCTAATTATGGGAAACTTTCTCATTATTATGATATACTATATTTTTTATACATTATACTATTTTTCAAGTGGCAGAAGTGGCTTCTATAGCTAAAGGACTTGATGATCAACCACGGTCTGAGATTTTAAACAGTTAATCGTACACTATAATCCAAATAACACTCCTCTGATCAGCTCTGTGTCTGTGTTTCAGAGACAGTAGCGAAACCATAGCAACGTAAGACATGTAAGAAAGAGGCTGGCTTTTGTTTCGCTTTTATTTTCTGGCAGGAATCAGACTGTGAACCTGTGCAGGATATCAGATTATGGAGGTGTGACTGCCGACCTCACAGTGTTTATAACACACCAGCATCTCTTTATTAGAATGTTCCAATGTTCTTGTTAAGGAACAATTAAATTTCATGAGGTGTATAATGAGGTACAGTCCAACTGGTCTGACATGCTGGTGAGCGTTAGGGTTGTTTTTGCATTCTTGTGTGAATGGAGAGGTTTTAAAACAAAGGTTTTCGTATAAATGAAGAGGGGATGGAAAATATTTTCAAAAATAAACGGACACACTGGGACAAAGTCTGGACTCTGAATGTTCGTCAATAAAGGGATATTTAAAACACTAATTTCAGAAATGGCTCCTGACTGACCATCTCAGATCCGCTCAACAGTGTCACTGTGACCAACAGACAGTGTGCAGAATTATAGTCTTCAGTGAAACTGTTTCTTTAACAGGAGCTTAGCTCAGCTGTTACCTGTAAAAATGGACAAAAGTACATTACAAAGCTAAAAACATTAGCGGTTATCTTTCAATCTGAACTGAGTCTGTACTTTAGTCCATGTTTATAGGTAACAGTGAGTCAAACAGTGTCAGAAACTGTGAAATCAAGACTATTAGAGATACTTTGGGGCAAATGCAGTTAGTGCAGTTAGCACCCTGCTTATTTGTTAGGGTATAAGCTTTCATTAGAACAACTTATGTTCTATGTTCAATGTACAGAACGTACACTGAGGAATGACAAAGAACACTTGATTTGACATTACTTGTTAGCTACATTAGCATCATAGCTGTAGTGCTAAAACTATTCAGTGGTGGACAGTAACGAAGTAAATGTATTCATTACTGTACTTAAGTAGTTTTTTCGTGTATCTGTACTTTACTGAAGTTTTTCCATTTTGGGTGACTTTTTTCTTTCACTCCACTACATTTCAAAGTCACATATCTCACTTTTTACTCCACCACATTATGAGAAACCTGTCGTTTCTTTTGGCTTATGTGTTTATAACGTCAAAATGAAAGAAGTGTGAAGCAAGAACACCAATCAGGGCACAGCGGTCACTTTGTTTTGAGCTTGTTTTGACCTGTTGGTCATACCGACCCAGTGCAGCACACGGTTCAACATCAGTGCAGCAGCATAAAATTTTGGGAGAGTCTATTCAACATAAATAACGAACTAACCTAACTTTGTGTAAACAGACCACAATATAGAAATATGTACACATATGCAGTTGAGACTGACGTGTCTTTATTCTGAATTTATACAAAAACATTTCATTTTATAGTAAATTAGTTTAGGCTGGTTTATGTTTATGAACAGAGACCTACAGATGCAGTTTAGTAAAGGAAACTCATTTGTGAATCTGAGTTTAAAGTTTTTATTAAACTTAAACTTGTAACTAAGTTCAAATTAATCTTAAACTGAAACTTTGCTTGTTTGTAAAAGTGATTTCAGAGCCACTCAGTTCTACCTGATGGAAACTGTTTGCCTTCAGTGTTTTGTGCTTATGATAATTTTAATAGACATCAGCGTCACTAATTAATGACATTCTATTAAAAGACTGGTTTACCAAGAGAGACACTGGAGTATTTTCACCTATAATGAGTTAATGAAGCGAGTCTTGTTATAAAAATGATAATAGGTCATCAGAGCCATAATTAATCTTTTAGTACTTTTACTTTTGATACTTTGGTACATTTGAAGGCAAATACTTTAGTACTTCTACTCAAGTGGAGGTCTAAAGGGAGGAACTTCTGCTTTTACTGGAGTAATATTTTACCTTGGGTGTCTCTACTTTAACTCAAGTACATGGTTTGCGAACTTCGTCCACCACTGTAACTATAGAAGAACTATCACTTTAATCAGTACTGACTCTGTGGTGCTCTTACCGATGAAGACGGAGAGGAAGAACAGAGTGATGGGGATGTTGACGATGGGGGAGCTCATGTTGAGGAACCAGTTTGGGCTCATGGGGAAGAACCTGAGAAAGAGCAGGAAGAAGAACAGACTGCTGCGGTTCTCCTCCACCTAAACACAAGACAACAACAACAACAACAACAACAACACGCTGTTAGAACTGAGAGAACTGAGAGGGGATTCAGGAATACATAAATTATTATTATTATTACACAGGGCAGGATATAATACAAGTTTGTGTACGGTACAGCGCACTTTAAGGTTCCTGAGGAGGAACACTGTGTTTAGAGGAACGTTTAGTGACCTCTCCTTTTTCTGACATCTGATTTATCACTTTTCAGTGAAGTAAGAAAAAATCCCAGTGATGGTACTTGATCTTAAAGCGGCTCCGAGGAATCTCACGTGAACAATCACATGACTTTTAAACCCTTTTTCAGGGTATTTTTCACAGGTAAAACACACGACCACATGGAAAACTGATCATGCCCGAGATCACGTGGGGATAACTTGTGATCACGTGTGATTAACTTGTGATTATAACTTTCTCCCAATTTAATTGGTCTCCCCCAGTCACACAATACCACCTCTCCTGGCCACAGAATGTTTTTTTATAACAATAACATGTTTTTTTGACACTGAATGAAGTACCTGTGACTCTGTGTGGGTGATGATTGTTTACTGCCTTTGGCTTCTTGGCTACTGGTTTTGAAATCTGACTGAGTCGAGTTGTAAAACACAAATAATCTGAATTCTGTTTTAAGCAACTGTGTTAAAAAAACACTGCTGTTCATGGAACCTCCATTAACAGTCATCTTACCTGGCAACCATAAACCACTCTTAACTGAATACAGTGACTGGCAAAGTAACTGTTTATTGTAGTCAAATTAAATTATGTATTAAACAGTGATGTCTTATCAGCAGACGTGCAGGTGTGTTGGTCTCTGCGCGGCGCCGTTAGGATCGTACTCACTTTCCTCTGCAGCAGGGCGACCTTGTCGGGGAAAAGCCGGACGATGTGCTGTTTTCCGAAGGCCTGCGAGAGCAGGAAGCAGAGGGTGGCCCCTACAGTGGTCAGAACACAGGCCAGCAGCAGACCCAGCCAGGGTCCAAACAGCGCCCCCGCCAGGATGTTCTGAACAGTACAACCACACATAGGGCACAAACAGAAACACACATGAAAAACTGAAGAGAGAGAGAGAGAGAGAGAAAGAGAGAGAGAGAAAGAGAGAGAGAGAGAACAGTGCGTCACAGAACACTAACAATTAATTAAACTCAACACGACTGTGATTCCCAGACATAGATTAATACTAAGACTGACTCAGACGGACTTTTGGGCCTTAATACCCTAAAATAAGTTCTCAGGTCAATGACTCTCTCTCTACAGAAAGAGGGACGGTCTAAAAACAGAGCACAGAGATTTACACTCAGCGTTTTCCTCCTCTCTGAGGATCATTATGAGTAAACAGCTTAACATTTAGTGTTTTAGAAACTCCTGGAAAAAAGGCTTAACATACACATAATTCACACTTCAGGACATTATGATCTCATTCTTTTTGGCAGCAGACAGTGTTTATGATCTATAATACAGGGTGTCCAAAAAAATTGACATCATTTGAGATGTGAGTATCTGAGTAACTACATGTCCTGGCAAAAGAAATTAAAGGCTTCATGATGAACAATACAAGATTTATTTATCAAAATTCGAACAAGAAATTCAGAGGGATGTAGATTTATAACCGATTTCACAGCTTCACAAATGTAACATCATCCGATACTGGTGGTCGTCCAAACCCCTTTGTCCTGCACAGACAGTCTTCCTCTTTGAGTTTTTTGTGCCGTGTCCAAATCTGCTTTCCAGTTGGTGCATTTTTATTGAATTTTCTCAAAAATGCTGCTGCACACTCGTTTGACTGTGTTCGAGCAAATTCTAACACACTAAACGCCTTTTCATTTCTAGCGAACGCCGTTCTTCACCTGAAAAACATTAAAAATTAAACTTGGTTAGTTTTTACACATTTTGTTAAAATCTGAAATCATTTGAGGAGAATTGGCTGTTATTAGACTACGAAATGATGTCAATTTTTGGGACACCCTGTATGTCTTCTAGGCTGTTTTAGTACATTAAGCCAAATTAAATCATTCCCTTATAATGTTTATAAATGATCGATTTGTCTTTAAAGATTTATTCATAAAAATCAAATTTACCCAGTTCCTCCTCCTCACCTCAAATCTAGTCGATCAGCCGAGTCGTGTTTGGTGTCTGAAGTTTTGCTTCTTTAGTTTTAGTGCTGGAGCTACGAGGCTAATGTAACTAACAAGTAATGAAAGCTTATACCCACCAATTAGCATCATGAAAACTTCACGCTGATTGTGTCCGTATTTTAATCCATGTTTATAGAAAACAGCGTCTGAGACCTCATAATCAAGTCAGTTAGAGATGCTGAACAGCTCCACACGGTTGCTAATTGGTGGGGTATTCACTTCCATTACTTGTTAGCCACACAAACATATGAAAACAGAGTCAGGCAGGATCTACCGGTCCACTGTTACTCAGCCGTGATCCAGTTAGTTACACTGGTTAGTTTCAAACTATACTTTTACAAATTTGGCTGCACCACAAATCTGTAAGTCGTGTCTTAACTAGTAAGAACTAACTGATCTGTACGTCGCCGTAACATGACAATAACATGTTCATAACCGATCAGTAAACCTGCCGCCATGGTTCATGTTTTGGTCTGTTTGTGTCTCTGTGTTTCTGATGGTTCCCCAAAACTCACACCTGCTGAGGGGGTGTAAATATTTAGTAACTAATGAGCTCAACGTTAAACTAGTTTGTGGTGCAGCTCGTTCTGATTTAGTGATGCATAAACCTGAACTTAGTAAACACTTACGGTACAACTAGCCTACATCTGAACCTACAGGGCAGAATGAGTAACCAGAGCTTCTCCCCTAAAACCATTCAGTTATAAACATACAACACAGACTAAGTCAGGCTAAATGTCTGATATGTAGAGTCGTGTACTGTGTGTTGTTACAGCCACTCCATCTGTACTGAGATTAATTCCACCATTCTGGCCGTGTGATAATAAAACTTTAAACTTTAAGCTACATTAGCCTTGTAGCTTCAGTGCTAAAACTAAAGAGTCAAACTTCAGACACCGAACACGACTCAGCTGATCGACTACATCTGGGGTCGAGGAAGAAAACTGGAGGATTCGAGTTTTCGCTGAACTTTGGTTTAAATCCGAGCGTAGTGGTGCAGTACCAGCAGAGATGACCCCGGGATGGCGAAGGCCTGCTTGTAGATGTAAGCGCTGCAGAACAGCAGCAGAACGTATCCGCTGTGCTCGGCCTGATAGAGCCTCAGCAGAGCCGCCAGCTCGCGCAGCTCCTCCAGATCAGAGGGGAACTTCAGCCTGAAATACACAAACACGACCGTCACAGTCGATTATGATACAAATCCAGTGATTATTGATTAACCGAGTAATCAAACACCCACAACTTAACATCGGACATCTAATGTTACCTCATTTTCACACCACAAACACACATGCAGCAGTGAGATCCTGCTGGTGTGGGTTTCCTCTCTTTCAGTGATGCACACAAAAGCCAATTGAGTGCCTATAGCTCCCCTAGTGGACACAGTTCAGACTGCCGAACACGGCTTTATAACGACCTGCAAAAACACTGTTTATCACTCAAACTGCAAAGTAATCTGGTCAGAATTGTTCACAGTGGTGGTGATAGGAACCAGACGTCCACCTCTAAAAGCCCCCTCACAGAAAGAAACCCTGCATTACCGGGGAACTTCTGAAAAACCGATAAATACGCAAACGAAGCCTGACTAATTGTATGATATGTAGAGTCATGTACTGTATGTCTTCTTTCCTTATGTTTGCACTATATCATCATATCATATATCAATGCACTAAAACACACTAAACACTGCGTACTGAAGAGTTTACATCGTGTATTGAAAGTATCAGGTTGTTGTTTTACTGCCAGGTTCCTTTAAAGAGGAATATTTCACATGATTTTTTTTGTCTTCGAAATACAGCAAAGGTGTAAAACATGACAGTATTTATTATTATTGTCGTAAATTACATCAAAATATGCTTTTCTGAGTGTATCGTGCATATCGTACTTAGTTACAGGATACTGAACTGCATGTTTGCTTATATAAAAAACAAAATTAGTCCTGTTTGAACAGATTTATTACAGTGCAGTGTGTTTAAACGGTATTTTAAAGGGCCTGTATTTATGAAAAAAGTAATTCCCCTCACTTTGATGAAATAAAGGAGTTTAAAGTGATACATTAACGTTGTTAAAGTTTCAAAATGTGCCATTCACCACCCAGTTCATCCACCCAGTTCATCCACACAGTGCATATATGGAAAATGAACTGCACAAACAGCCTGATTTGAATTCACTGTATTTGTGATGTCATGAGAATCAACTCATTTACATACCCATTTGCATATTCAGCCCACAGCAGTTTAGCCCTGCCTACTCACATTGAAGTTATAAGGAGCATTTCAACAGTGCTTTCTGAATGAGGCACAGCCAATCAGAGCAGACTGCATTTACATATATCAGTCTTAAAGGCACAGTAACAGAAACAGCCCGTTTAACTGTGAGGGATAAAGAGAGGCTGGAAAGTCATGTAGAAATTAATTATGACTGTTTTTGGTAGATAAAATCAGACAAACGCTATTAATGGACGTGAAGTGGAAAGAATATGTTATAAAATAAAATGAAGAAAATGTGACGTATTGACCCTTTAAAGGTGGCATCACTGGTTATTTTTCCTGTGACACCTCAGAACAGTAAACACCGCGTAGTGAAACTGCCTTTTCTTCAAAAACGTCTTTTAAAAGCATCACAACATGATATTTCTGCTCCATCGTCCAGCCCAGGTAACAGTTTATGTTATGGTCAGTAGGCTGTGATGGACGTTTGGTCCACACTAAAAAAAGATGCTTCCTCAAGGGTTCTACAGTAAAGGAAATGGTTCTATTCAGTACCTCGAGTTCTATATAGAACCTTTTGCATGCTTTATAGAACCTTTTTGAAAATGGTTCTACATAGAACTAAAAAGGGTTCTGCTAGTGTCACAAGTTTGACATCATAACAATAGCAGAACCATTTATAGTGCTACATAGAACCATATTCAAAAAGGTTACATACGGAACCATACACAACACATTCTCCATCAACCCGAAGAACCATTTCACCATGCAAAGAACCATTAAATGGTTCTATATAGAATTAAATGGTTCCACAGAGAACCCTTCCCTTTACTTTAGAACCTTTAAGGATCTCTTTAAGGGTGCAGGACGCTTAGAATGACCTCCACCGTTTCTGACTCAGATTAATGAGCCACTCTGAGCTCAATTAACAGATGTTTGTAGATTAATATGAACCGCAGTAATAATGTCAGTATGTAAATAACAGACAGGCAGGCAGGCAGACAGGCAGGCAGGCAGACAGGCAGGCAGGCAGGCAGACAGGCAGGCAGGCAGGCAGGCAGGCAGACAGACAGACAGACAGACAGGCAGGCAGAGAGACAGGCAGACAGACAGGAAGGCAGGCAGGCAGGCAGACAGAGAGACAGGCAGGCAGAGAGACAGGCAGACAGACAGGCAGGCAGACAGACAGACAGACAGACAGGCAGGCAGGCAGACAGACAGACAGGCAGGCAGAGAGACAGGCAGGCAGGCAGACAGGCAGGCAGAGAGACAGGCAGGCAGACAGACAGACAGACAGACAGACAGACAGGCAGGCAGGCAGGCAGGCAGGCAGGCAGGCAGACAGACAGACAGACAGACAGGCAGGCAGACAGGCAGGCAGAGAGACAGGCAGGCAGACAGACAGACAGACAGACAGGCAGGCAGGCAGGCAGACAGACAGACAGACAGGCAGACAGACAGGCAGGCAGAGAGACAGGCAGACAGACAGACCGGGGCAGGTCGAGGAGCGGAGGTGGAACTCTGGCACACCTGATCCTGATAAACTCTACCTGTCAGCTGCAGCTCCGCTGAGCGAGTCTCCCTCTCCCGGTCCTCCATCTCCCCGCGCGCTGGGGGGCGGGCGCACGGGGGGCAGGTGGGCTGAGAGCAGGTAAAGGTAAAGAGAGGCGAGCAGCAGAACCAGAACCAGACCGAGCACCGACCGCATGGCGGAACCACGCAGCCCGGAGCAGCAGCGGCAGCACGGGGGCGCGAACAGCAGGGAACACGACCGGCGATCACGCGGTTAGCAGGAGCCAATCAGAGCTCAGTACGCCGCAGGGGCGGCCGCGTCCCAATGTCTTCGTTCCGGCCTTTCTTTCTTCCCTTCTTTTTAAAATAAAAGGTTTATTTACTTTTTATTAAACAGTTTCAACCAGAATAACAATTAATGACGGAAACTCCGCCTAAAAGTCTTAAGTATCCAGAACACAACCGTGAAAACAGCACAAGAGCCTTAAAACACATTTTAGACTTCGACAAAAGCAGAGCTAAATGAGTACTTCAGGAAAGAGATGAAAAATACATATTATATTTATATAGAAAGTATTTTTCCCCCACTTCTTAAATGCGTTATAAACTTTTCTTCCAGAAATAAAAAAGTATTTCGTGAGAAGAAAAAATTAATTTATTTTTTAAGTGAAATGTTTAAAAATAAAAATCTTTAAGATGTTAACTGAGCGTTCTTTGTTCTGTCGAACGCTGGTATGATTGTATTTTTATTGTAACCACATGGCTTTGTTACTCTTTCTGAACTGTCTATACTCTACACTCTAAAAAAGATGGTTCTTCCAGGGTTCTTTAGTAAAGGAAATGGTTCTATTTAGAACCATGAGTTATATATAGAACCATTTCATCCTTAAATGGTTCTCTGCATGGTGAAATGATTCCTTAGATCGATGGAGAATGTGCTGTATATGGTTCTACATAGAACCCTCCTGATTTTTTTTCTGTGTGGCACCGAAAAGGGTTCTACTGTTGTTACAAGTCTGACATCATAACCATAGCAGAATCCTTCACACATTCTTCTACAATCTGAAGAACGATTTCACCAATCAACGAACCATGTAAGCACACAAATGGTTTATATAGAACTCATAGTTCTAAATAGAACAACTGCCTTTAAGGAACCCTTAAAGATGAATTTCACCATGCAAAGAACAATTTAAGCATTAAATGGTTCTATATACAACTCATCGTTCTAAATAGAGCAATTGCTTTTACTAAAGAACCCTTAAAGAACCATTTCACCACGCAAGAACAATTTAAGCATGAAATTGTTCTAGATAGAACAATTGCCTTTGCTAAAGAACCCCTGAAGAACCATTTCACTCATCAAAGTACAAAAATAGAACAATTGCCTATACTAAAGAACCATTTCACCATGCAAAGAACCATTTAAGCCTGAAATGGTTCTATATAGATTTCATGGACCTAATTAGAACAAGTGCCTTCGCTAAAGAACCCTTGAAGAACCATCTTTTTTAAGTGTGTATGATTATCACAGTATTGTAAATACGATCTCTACCAAAGTTGCTGTTGTGCAAAAAAATAAGAAATAAAAAAATAAATAAAAACATCCGGTTGCATTAAAACCCGCAGCAGTAGTGCGTCAAAAATAGCGCACTACCGTCAGAAGCGCACTGATTAGTATAGTATGTATAGTGCAGTGTAGTAGTGCTCGGTTTGGGACGCAGCCCGTGGCTGCCAGGTTCTTACCGTAAAGTGTGGACTAGCTGCGCCCTCTGCTGGTTTTTCAGTGTGTTTACGGGGGCGTTGAGGCTCTGCCTCCTGCAGCGCTGCTGTTGAACTCTTACCTACAAACTCTGCAGGACTTCGACTCCTTCGCGCTTTCCTGATTTAATAAAAACGGCCGTCTGAAGCTTTTAACTCACTCCGAGAAGATCAAAGTCCCGTTAAAGCTCGGCAGGACAGCTGAAAGACTCCAGACTCTGCAGAACTGAAGAACCTGAAGAACCTGAAGAACCTAAACAACTGAAGTGCGTTTAGTGCTCAGCAATGGCTCGATATGCACGAACGAGGGGCTCGATCGCTTTGATCACTCTGACTAACCCCCCCGTGAACGCGCTCAGGTGAGTCTGCACCTGTCTGGCTGAGCTGTGTGTCCTGCAGCTGCGGTCTGGGAGGTCTTTCAGCTCCAGGTTTGCTTCTGCAGCTCACTGTCTGATTTAGTTCACAGTGCAGCTGTAGATGAGCTGCTCTGACAGTTTGGAGGAGTGAAAGCTCTGATGCAGAGTTTCCAGCTCACCTGCACAGGTGTGTTAAGAATGATTGATTAACTGCACCTGAGTTACTGGTGAGCAGGAGTTTCTGGAGCTGAATCAGAAACAGAGCAACATCTGTGAAGCTGGACTCAGTCGGAATCAAATGGTTTATGTTCCATTACACTGTGTGATCATAAGATCCGCAAACATTAATGTTAATTAGTAATTAACAATAAAACGTTTAAGATACAGAAAAGAGAAAAACAAAAGAACATATAACATATAAAGGATGGTCCCTCTCCGCTTTCTTCCATGATTTCCAAAAATATTTTCAAATGTTGATTTGTTTCCACTTCCCCTCAGTCCATTTTAAATGAGCTCGGGCCCAGAGAAGGTGGCAGCGTTTCTGGATCCTGTTTATATTTGGTTTCTTCTTTGCGTTTTAGAGTTTTAACTTGCATTTGTAGATTCAGTGATGAACTGTGTTCACAGACAGTGGTTTTCAGAAGTGTTTCTGAGTCCATGAAGTGATTTCCACTACAGAATCATGTCTGTTTATAATGCAGTGCAGCCTGAGGGCCCAAAGATCACGGCCAGCAAATACTGGTTTTTGGTCTTGTCCCTTACATACAGAGATTTCTCCAGATTCTCTGAATCTTTTAATGTTATTATGTACTGTAGATGAAAAGCAAAAGTTCTTTGCTATTTTACGCTGAGAAACATTATTCCTGAATTGTTGCATTTGATGATGCAGTCTTTCACAGAGTGGTGAACCCCTCCTCATCTTTACTTCTGAAAGACTCCGCCTCTCTGAGATGCTCTTTTATTTTTAAAAAGCTTGGATGGGAGCAACAAAAGGCAGGTAAAGTTGTGTAATGCTAAAAAAACACCTGTTGGTTTATTGGCAACAGGTCAGTAACATGATTGGGTAATGTTACTGACCTGTTGTCAATCAACCACCAGGTGTTTTTTAGCATTACACAACTTTACCAGCCTTTTGTTGCTCCCATCCCAACTTTTTAAAAATGTATTGTCGGCATCAAATTCAGTATTTGCATATATTTTTCAAAAAACAATAAAATTTCTCAGTTTCAACATTACATAAGTTGCCTTTGTACTATTTTCATTTTGGGATCAAATGATTTGCACATCATTACATTCTATTTTTATTCACATTTTTCACAGTATCCAAACTTTTTTGTAAACAGGGTTGTAAACGTTACATTCCTCTGTAGTGCTCATCCCCAGTTTCTACAGTGTGTAAATGTTTATGTATCTGTATCTGCAGATGTGTACAGATACATAAATGTCTGAAAATATCAAAATATCGGTCAACAATATCAGCCCACCATTTCCATTTCCCTACATGTTGGGCTGGTTAGAAAACTGCGTTCACTTTTACACACACATTGTTTAGCTTATTCGCCTGACTTTTCTTTAAAATAAGAACATTATTGGCCTAAATATTCAAATGAGATGCGAGTGAGCTGAGCCTAGCAGTTTGTGAGTCATCGTCCCTCTGTCTCTCGTCCTCAGCGCTGTGGTGCGGAAGGGCATCACTGAGGCGGTGGCGCGGGCGTTCAAGGACACACAAGTGAAGGCTGTGGTGCTGTGTGGGGAAAATGGAAAATTCTGTGGAGGTAAACAAACTCAAACACACACATAATACATATTATACCCATATAGCACTCATAGTACACATACACACTCATATAGTACTCATAAAATTCATATAGTACACAAACAGCACTTGCATAACATTCGTATAGCACATACATAGTACTCACGTGGTGCATGCATATAGTTGACATATAGCACTGACATAATACTCACGCTGTATTTGTACACATAGTACACATACAGCATGCACACAATGTTCATATGGTACACACAGAGGTATAGTACACTTACAGTAAACATGTAGTATTCATATACTTATTTACTACACATATAGTACACAGAACTCACACAGTTATATGGTACACTCATAGTATAATATCCTCATATAGTACAGTACACATATAGTACTGATATAGCACTCATAGATGTTACTAGTAGTACTGGTACTACATTACTAGCACTCAATAGTATGCACATAATACTCATGTGGTGTACACATACAGTATAGTACACACATGTAGTGTAGAACACAGTACACATGTAGAACCCATATAGCACCCACATAATACTCACACAGTACACATGTAGATCACTTACAGCACTCAGAGTGCACATATAGTACATATATAACACAATGCTCACACATAGCACTCACATAACATACAGTACACATAGTACATACTCATGTGGTACACTGTACACATATAGTACAGTACACTCATATAGTACACATATAGTAAACATACATAATATTGACATAGTACCCATGTAGTACCTACATAGCACTCACATTATATATGTGTATATATATATATATATATATATATATATATATATATATATATATAGTACACACATAGTACTTACATAGTAATCACATATAGCACACTTATAGTACACATATAGTATGCTTGTATAGTACATATATGTCCCTCTCATAACACGTATAATACTTATAAAGTACACATCCCCCTCACACTGCACACTCATAATACTGATATAGTGCACATACAGTGCACATGTAGCTCTAATGTAGCATAATACTAACCTGGTGCACATACAGTTTGGTACTTACACAGTACACCCTGGAGACTACCCTTATGCTCTGAAATACTGGTGCTCTTGCAGTGGCTCCCATCTCTGGTTGTGTAGCCCCCTGTTTTAGACATTGCTGTGTTTTCCTGCTCTAACACACCCACTGCAGCTCAGGAAGTGAAGGACAGCTGAATCGGGTGTGTTGGGGAAGGAAAAAGCCCTCCAAACCCTGCAGGACAGGAGTGGTCTGGGACCAGCGCTGGGGACCACTGCAGTGAGGAATGATTTACCGAAGGTCCTTTGCTGAGTGTTTCTGTTGATCACAGGTGCTGATATTAGAGAGTTTGCTAAGCCCATGTCGGGGCCTCCTCTGGTGCCCATGATCCACGCCATAGAGGCAGGGGAGAAGCCGGTGGTGGCAGCCATAGAGGAGATGGCGCTGGGAGGGGGGCTGGAGCTAGCACTGGGCTGCCATTACCGCGTCGCTCACGCTAAGGTAAACTGCAGTGTCGCTGTGTGAACCACCGCACAGGAACGTACCTGGAGTTCAGTGACAAATCACATTTACTGCAGCTTTAGCAGTGGAGCTACGAGGCTAATGTAGCTAACAAGTAATGGAAGCTTATATCCACTAATTAGCATAATGCTCGGGTGTCGCTGCACTCACGGCTCTTTCAGTGCAATTTCGGAGATCATCCAGTGTTGTGGAACCAATGACGAACACTCTGAGCTGTTGGAGCTTCACTGCCCACGAAAATCACACTGCACAGTTATGACGGATTCACTCTTATTGAAGTGGAAAACGCAGAACGCTTTCTGCTCAGGGGTCTCATCTCCTCTCAGACTGAAGGGAGCCATCTTCCACTGACAGTCAGAAACTCTATGACCCCCTCTTTCAATTGGATTGTGATTGGTTCCTAGACGCCTCACGGTTGTAAAATTATGGTGCTTTGAAATCAGATTAATCTTTTTGAATCACGCTGTACTTTAGTCAGTGTTTATAGGAAACAGTGAGTGTATAGAGGTACAGTGTCACAATCCGCATAATCGAGTCGATTAGAGATACTGAACAACTACACACACTTTGAGGAGAGTGTGTGACGACTTAGGCCTGCAGTTAGCACCATGCTAAATGGTGAGGTATAAGCTTCTTTTACTTGCTAGCTATATTAGCCTCGCAGCTCCAGTGCTAAAACTAAAGAGGCAAACTTCAGACACCAAAGATGTCGTTGCTCTCTGAATACATTTGGAGTAAGAGAAGGAAAACTTGATTAATCGCTTTAAGCCTGTAGGGTTGTGCCAGTATGGCGACTGTGACTGAGCTGCTGTGTTGTTTTACAGAGTGTCCTTGTCCTCTGATGAACCGTGACCCAGTTGAGTAATGCTTGCCTGTTAGACTTTGATAGGAAGTGTAATAGGCTACATAAAGTGGCCTGTTGAGGGGCATTGCTGCGTTAGCTTTGTTTGTGTTGTTTGTGGTATTTATTAGGACTTTAATGATGCACTCAGTCCACAATTCGAGTCACAATACTGGGTTCAGGAGTCTGTATTCTCATGATGTTTTAGCAAAACTCTAATGAAGAAAAACTCTTTAACCATGCTTTTACATGGACGCCTGATTTTGAGTGAATGTTTTTTCAAGGTTGGGGGGGCAGTTTGAGGGGTGTTATCTGATGCTGAAATGTATGTGTAACTTATAGCACTTAATATTTTGTACATGCGTGATAAAGGGGTGGAATGAAGAACAGCGCTGCTACAGTTATTGTTTTTAACGTTGTGGAAGTGTTCACAACATTATTTTGACATAATCAGTCAAAATCTCAAGAAAACAAGCCATTATTTCAATATAATCTGTCAGAATCTCGAAAAATGAAGCTATTATTTCAATATAATTATTCAGAATTCTGAGAAAATAAGCCATAATTTCACTATAGTCAAGAAACAAACCATTATTTTAATATAATCAGTCAAAATCTCAAAAAACAAACCATCATTTCCATATAATCAGTCAAAATCCTGAGAAAATAAACCATTATTTTAATATAATCAGTAAAAATACATAAAAAAAACATTGTATTCAAATAAAAAGTTTTTTTTTTCATAATAATAAGAAACAGAGCAGGTCAGGATGTGTCGATATACTGTCGTTTATGTGTTATTCTGTGTTTACAGGCTCGTCTGGGTCTTCCTGAGGTCGCTCTGGGTTTACTCCCGGCGGCTGGAGGTACACAGCGTTTACCTCGACTGACCGGCATCCCCGCAGCTCTGGACCTCATCACTACAGGTGACACAAACACACACGTCAGCCTATCAGCCTATCAGTCTATCAGCCTATGAGCATATCAGCGTATAGGAGTGTAGGAGAGTAGGAGTATGGGTAGTGAGCAGCTTCACTGCTCATCTTGCTTCAGGAGCGAGATGTTCAGCTCCAGTCATGGAGGGTCAGCGTCCAGTACAGTTTTGGTGGTTTCCCTGATTCAGCTCATCTAACGGCCAGGTTTAAAGTAGATGTGTTTGGAGGAAAAGCTCTAAACTGTGCTGAACACTTTTTTAAATAAGAGTTTGATACAGAAACTTTTCTAATGTTTCAAAATGTCCTGCTCACCCACAGTTCACACAGTCCATACATGGAAACTATGCTAAACTGCAGAAACAGCCTGTTTTGACCTGTATTTTGTGATGTCATACATCCACCTCATCAGCCTACAGCACTTTAGCCCCGCCCACCCACACTGAAGTTATAAAGGAGAAGGGGAAGTCATAAGAGTGTTTCAGCCCAGAGTGCTTTTTGTGAATGATGCACAATGATGGCAGCCAATCATAGCAGAGCTCATTTACATATGGCAATCTTAAAGGCACAGTAACAAAACAGCCTGTTTAGCTGTAAAGAGAGGATGGAAAATGATCATGTAGAAATGGATCATCAATTACAGACATAATAAAAGGACCTTAAGAAAAACTGAAATGCAAGAAGAATGCAGGACATTAGCCCTTTAATCAAACAGTATGTTTGTCCTGTAGGGGGCAGCGTTGTACGTTGTTTCTCTGTGCAGCATGGAAGTGGCGTGGCAGTCATTTCTGTTTCCTGCTCAGCATGCTCTGTTTTCCACTCCACGTTCTTCATTCTTAATCATGTGTATTTATATGTTTATGTTATATATCTCGAATATCTGGACACTTCACACTGCGCTTAGTGAATGATGTACATTCAGGGTGGTTATTAAACTAAAAACTAGTCAGACATTTCATGCTCACAGATGTTTTCCAGTGGGCCTGTAAGCTTCAAATGATCGGCCAATCACAGGGCAGAAAACTGAGGCTAAACAAACCCACACGCTTTTATCACAATCTACTTTTTACTGTTTAAACAGAAAAACAGACGTAATTAAATGGAATTTACAGTTTATTTATAGTAGAATCCAGCTGTTCTGTCCTGCAGAGAAAATCTGTCTATTTACCTACATTTGAATCCACTCCAGGTTAAAAGCTTCATATGTTTCAAAGTTTTAATCTCTCATTTTTAATACTTAAAACATTAGTGGTGGCTGAATACACAGTTCCATTACGTTACATACAATTAGATACAAACATTGATAAGACAGATGGGAACATTTTTGCTGTCATAGTTTTTATTTCACTGGTTGGCAGTTTTCTTTATTCAGTTCTTCGGTTAAAATGTCTCACTAAATATCTGCTTATCATTTAAATTAAGTTCTGAAATTCTCAGCACTGAGATTTTATCAGTTTACTCAGGCTTTAGGAGGAACTCCAGTGTTTTTAAAGAAGCTTGTTGAGTTTCTCTTTAGAGTCCAATGACTGTGTGCCGCCTGTGCATTTCAAAATAGTTAATAAAGCAGACTTACAGTACTGCCTTGGACCGAATACAGATACTTAATTACCGTATCCTGAATACTGGTATTCCATTACATCCCAGCCCTGACTATTATTACATTATCATTTTTATTATTATGTTAGTTAACGAGGTGATGATGATTATTATTATTAAATTGGGGGCAGAATGATAAAATACGGTCCTTCTCGTCAGGTGGTCAGTGTTTTGTTGTCGTACTGAAACATGTTGGGCTCATATTTGTGTTTTTGTCTGAACAGGTCGCCACATTTCCGCCCAGGAGGCCCTCAAGCTCGGCATCGTTGACCGGGTCACCGAGGGGAACGCTGTAGAAGCTGCTGTGGAGCTCGCACTGAGCGTTGTAGGTGGGTGAATGCATGTGGGTGTGCATGAAAGAGATTTAGTCGTATGCGAATGTTTGGGCACCCTTGGTGAAATTACACGTTTTATTGATTTTCAAAGTTAAAATGATTAGGTTCAAATTAAGTTAACACATCTGCTACAAGATGTGCCATAACGTTTACACAGGACACATTTACATCATATTTGTTCCCAGTATTTTAAATGTAGTAAATAAACAGTAATTGTGTATCTAAATGTGGAGTAGTGTGTCTCTGTAGAGGCTGTGTAACCTGTTCACACACAACATCCCTGTGGTTTGATATTCCTCTGTATGGTTTGGCAGTTTTTGATATCATTTAGTTGCTTTCGGTATTGTTTGACAGTATTTATATGTTTTGGTAGTTTTTGCTATAGTTTGGTAGGTTTTTATGGTTTGGTAGTTTTTGCTATAGTTTGGTAGGTTTTTATGGTTTGGTAGTTTTTGCTATAGTTTGGTAGGTTTTTATGGTTTGGTAGGTTTTTGAGGTTTGGTAGTTTTTGCTATAGTTTGGTATGTTTTTATGGTTTGGTAGGTTTTTGTGGTTTGGTAGTTTTTGCTATAGTTTGGTAGTTTTTTGTGGTTTGGTAGTTTTTGCTATAGTTTGGTAGGATTTTGTGGTTTGGTAGTTTCTGCTATAGTTTGGTAGTTTTTGTGGTTTGGTAGTTTTTTGTGGTTTGGTAGTTTTTGCTATAGTTTGGTAGGTTTTTGTGGTTTGGTAGTTTTTACTATGCTTTGGTAGTTTTTTGTGGTTTGGTAGTTTTTGCTATAGTTTGGTAGGTTTTTGTGGTTTGGTAGTTTTTTGTGCTATGCTTTGATAGGTTTTTGTGGTTTGGTAGGTTTTTGTGGTTTGGTAGTTTTTGCTATAGTTTGGTAGGTTTTTGTGGTTTGGTAGTTTTTTGTGGTTTGGTAGTTTTTGCTATAGTTTGGTAGTTTTTGTGATTTGGTAGTTTTTGTGGTTTGGTAGTTTTTGCTATAGTTTGGTAGTTTTTTGTGGTTTGGAGGTTTTTTGCTATAGTTTGGTAGTTTTTTGTGGTTTGGTAGTTTTTTGCGGTTTGGTAGTTTTTTGTGGTTTGGTAGTTTTTTGCGGTTTGGTAGTTTTTGCTATAGTTTGGTAGTTTTTTGCGGTTTGGTAGTTTTTGTTATGGTTTGGTAGTTTTTATGCGCTTTGTTTGTACATTAACTGTATGTTTGTCGTGTTTTGTGTTTCAGGTCGTCCCCTGGCCCCCCGCAGGCTGAGCAACCGTGCCACCCCTCTCCCTGCGGATCTGGACGGTGTATTTGAGGAGGTGTTGGTGCAGGTGAAGCGGCGGGCGCGTGGTGCGATGGCCCCGGTGGCCTGCGTGAAGGCGGTCAGAGCGGCGGCCGAGCTGCCCTACAGTCGGGGGATGGAGTGCGAGAGGGAGCTGATGAACACGCTGTTTACCTCCGGACAGGCCAGAGCACTGCAGTACTGCTTCTTTGCCCAGAGGGCTGCTGGGAAATGGAGTCTTCCTAATGGAGCACGGTGGGACAACAGCAGGCCCAGAGCAGTCCACACAGCCGGGGTCATAGGTCAGATAGTCTGGATTACCACACACATTAAAACGGTCTGATTAATGAAAAACAGGCCTAGTTACAGCTTTTCAGTATTGATGATTAGTGGTGGCGCCGTGTATTGAGATTCCTGCATTCAGTGCAGCTCTAGGTTGCACACTGACCAAAACTAAGGATGCATCAATATCATGTTCTAATTACTATTCTGAGTGCATGTTTTTAAAAATATATCCCTTCATACTCAGCCTTTGCTGGCTTTATAGGCCTTTGGCCTGCTACTCTACCGGATGCTTTCTTGCCTTGGGTTGGTTGCTTACTTGGCATGTTGGTCCCTTAAACCTTCACAAACTGGGTTTGAGCCTACTGTGGGTTAGTTTGGGGTTTCCCTTCTTTGGAGGTTCATTTTGTTGCGTTTTCTTCCAAGGCCTAATCCCTAAGACCCTTTATCTAACAGTGTACAACAGCCTGTTCTCTGTTCATGGTTTAGTGGGTTGTCTTTGCTGCACCACCTCAGGGGTTTGATCCCCCATTACACCCCCATATGACGCCAAACGGCCTGCAGGAAGGTTTGGCTGACACAGGAGTGGTGGTGCACCGTTCTACTGTGATCTGCATGGAAGAGTCATCAGAATGAAAGTTTACCTGTGACTTCATCTCAAAGTCAGTGTCTAAAGTCTGCAAAACAAAATCTAGACGTACTCTCCGCTCATCTTCAGCTGATTTGCTGTCCATTCCTCCATCCAAGCCAATTATAGATTTGGCGTTTGAGCATTCTCTCCTCGTCTCTGGAACTCTCTTCTTCCTCATGTCCATCAGCCTGATTCTCTTTCCACATTTAAAACTTACCTCAAAACTCGTCTCTTCTCTCTCGCTTACAACTTAGCACCGAGCTAAACTTACCCTCTCATTACGACTTCTCTCTGTCTTCTCCTCTGTTGTCTCTCTGGGTTTTCTGTAATCTGGTGTTCTGTGTTCTATTACGATTATAGGCATCTTTGGGTTCTTGAAAAGCGCTGTATAACGTTGCTGTCAGGACAAAATCTTGTATCTTCATTTTTGTCATTTTTCATAATTAGAAAAAGACAGTTGCCCTTTATTTTGTGTCAACATTTCATGATGAACAGACCAACAGAAATGGTTCAAAATTTCTCAATTTTTCTTCCTATAAAACTTAAGAGCGTTTTTCCTTCTCCTGTATTTTGGAGATACAAGATTTGTTCCGACAGCAGTAATAAGTTTCATGTATTATTCTTCTTCTTATTATTATTATTATTTGATCAGTCAGAGGAATTGTGGAAGTTAATTGTGATGCAGTTAAAATAAAAACTTTTTGGCCACCATCACCAAAGGTATGTTTGGGGGAAAAAAAGAATCTGATGAAAAGAACACCCTGCCGACTGTTTCAGCTGTTAATCATGGATTCGACTAAATATCAGCAAATTCTGGAAGCAGATGTGAAACTGAACCTGTAAAAGAAGCTTCTACAACAGGACAATGATCCAAAACACACCTCAAAATCCACCATGATGTACTTCAAGAAACTCAGGATGAAGCTCCTGGAATGTTCCTCAGAGTCCCTGACCTGAACATCACTATAAATCTGTGGGTAGATTGAGAGAGACGACCCAAGAACATCACAGAACCCGAAGTGTTCTGTGAGGAAGAGTGGGTGAAAATTCCTGGAAAAGAACTGAAAGACTCCTAGCTGGAAACACGAAGCATTTACAAGCTGTGATGTCTGCCAAAGGGCGTTAGCTCTGACTGGGTGTCCTAACTGCACTTGCCTCATTTAACATAACTGTGTTTCTGAGTGACACTGATCTGCTCCTCTGCAGGTTTGGGCACGATGGGCCGGGGCATCGCTGTCTGTCTGGTCAAGGCGGGTATCTCTGTGGTTGCTGTGGAGACGGAGGAGAAGCAGCTGGATTTGGGCAGGCGGGCGGTCAAGGGGATGCTGGAGAGAGATGCTAAGAGACGAGGGGTCACTGCTCCGCTTCACCTGATCACCTTCACTCTGTCCCTGCAGCAGCTGAGGGACGTGGACCTGGTCATCGAGGCCGTGTTTGAGGACATGGCGCTGAAGAAGAGCGTTTTTACCAAACTGAGCCGAGTGTGCAGACCGAACACTCTGCTCTGCACCAACACTTCCGGACTGGACGTGGATGAATTGGCTTCGGTCACTGACCGGCCCCCTCTAGTGGTTGGGATGCACTTTTTCGCCCCCGCTCACGTGATGAAGCTCCTGGAGGTCGTCTGTGGACCTCGATCCTCACCTGAAGCTGTTGCCACGGCAATGACCATGGGGAAGAGGCTGGGCAAGGTAATAATATTAATAATAATAATAATAATAATTTTTATTTCCGTAGCATTTCCGTATATAATTCTATGCAAAAGTTTGAACAGCCCTGGTCAAATTACATGTTTTCACAGCACAAATTCATGTTAACAAGTGAAAACATTAAAATTTTTCTCCCAGTTTGTTAAATTTAGCAAATAAATTATCATTTTGCATAAAACTGTGCAAAAGTGTGTTTTCTATAGAGGACATATTAATTTATTAATACTTAGAAAATCACAAAGACGTGGAATTTGATCAGCAGCGCCTAAACTTTTGCACACGACTGTTAGCACATTTTACTTCCAGAATCTCAGAGATTAGAAAAACACTGGAAAGCTAAAGTATTACTGTGTATATGAAATAATACAAGGTGAGCATCGCCGTGGGAAACTGCCCGGGGTTTGTGGGTAACCGCATGCTGAAGTTGTACTTGGACCAGGCCCACTTCCTGCTGGAGGAGGGCGCCTCACCTGAGCAGGTGGACCAGGCTCTGGAGGAGTTCGGCTTCGCTCTGGGGATCTTCAAAGTGGCCGATCTCTCCGGGCTGGACATCGGCTGGAGAGTTCGGAAAGCGGCCGGACAGATCGGGCCAGATGTTGACCCAAAGTTCCCCTCACGTCATCGCCAGGGCCGCAGGTAACAATAATAACCTTATTTACTTTATAGATTTTTTTTATAGATCACCTTTCGGAAGACTAGAAAATGCTGCTGTGTAGGTTCCAGATAATCAGCATGAAGCTGTAAAAAAGATACAAATATTGTTTGTGTTTAAAAACTCCAGCAGCACTGCTGTGTCTGATCCACTCAGACCAGCACAACACACACTAACACACCACCACCACATCAGTGTTACTGCAGTGCTGAGAATGATCCACCACCCAAATAGTACCTGCTCTGTGAGGGTCCATGGGGGTCCTGACCACTGAAGAACAGGGTAAAAGGGGGCTAACAAAGTATCAGAGAAACAGATGGACTACAGTCTGTAACTGTAGAACTACAAAGTGCACCTATATAGTAAGTGGAGCTGATAAAATGGACAATGAGCGTAGAAACAAGGAGGTGGTCAGAATGTTACGCCTGAGCGGTGTGTATATATACACACACAGTATTGTAAGTGATTGTTACATGTAAAATAACAAAAATGTAAGAATCTCAATAATAATTCATTAAACACAATAAATGATTTTATTTATTTTTAATATCTGTGTGGTAAACCGTTTATATTGTTTATTATGTTTGTGTGTAGGTACTGTCCTCTGCCGGACCTAATGTGTGAGCAGGGTCGTTTGGGTCAGAAGTCCGGTCGGGGCTGGTACCTGTACGACTCTGTGGGCGGTAAGGAGGCGAGGCCGGACCCGGCCATCAGCAGCTTCCTGCAGGAGTACCGGCTCCGCTACGGCATCTCGGCCCGCCCCGTCACCGCGCAGGAGGTGGTGGAGCGCTGTGTGTTCGTTCTAGCTAACGAAGGGTTCCGGATTCTGGAGGACGGCATGGCGGCGGGCCCTGAGGATATCGACATGGTGTACGTGTTTGGGTATGGGTGGCCCCGGCACCGCGGGGGGCCCATGTTCCACGCCGCTCAGGTGGGCCTAGCCACAGTGCTGCAGAGGCTGGAGTTCTACCATGGACAGAACCCGGATGTCCCCCACCTCCAGCCCAGCACCCTGCTCAGGAGACTGGTGGGGGCAGGAAGCCCCCCCATACAGCAGTGGAAACAACACATCAGGAGCGTTCACAGCCAGCTGTGACCTCACACACAGCACCATCCTGCAGTTATTAATAACTCATAATAACTACATCATCACAATACAGCGCCATACAGCAGTTATTAATAACTCATTATAACTACATCATCACAATACAGCGCCATACAGCAGTTATTAATAACTCATTATAACTACATCATCACAATACAGCAACATACAGCAGTTATTAATAACTCATTATAACTACATCATCACAATACAGCACCACACAGCAGTTATTAATAACTCATTATAACTACATCATCACAATACAGCACCATACAGCAGTTATTAATAACTCATTATAACATCATCACAATACAGCACCACACAGCAGTTATTAATAACTCATTATAACTACATCATCACAATACAGCACCATAATCTTTAATAACCTCAGCATCATAATACAGTACAATACAGCAGTTTATAATTACTCTCAATAAGTTTAATAACTATATCATCCTAATAGTGCACTTAAGAAAAAATGTATAACTTTATTAACTGCATCATCACAATACAGCACTTAATAGCTTCTATAATAACTTATATAATAGCTATAATCAACACAGTAGAGTATAGCAGCACTGCTACCGACTAAGGCTGCGTTCACTCAGCAGGTAAAAGTGGCCCAAATCTGATTTTCTCATCAAATCAGATTATTTTGTTTGACTGTTGATATTGTATTTTATATGTGATCTGTGTGCAACATCAGTCTGAACAGATCAGCTCCTAAACTGACCCACATGCGCTAAAGAACAGAGCGTCACGCTGCTTCACGGCTCATCCAGAGGTGAACAATCACGACCGCCAACGAACACCAGTCGCTCCCGGAGGATCAGCTTCATCTTCACCAGCATCACAGGAGCCATCATGAAGCTTCACTGACTGACAGCTGGGCTCATCACCCAAAATGTGTTGGAGCTGTAAAAAGGGCGCGGTCACTTCTTTGGTTTGTGTCCTCAGATTCTTTAAACTGTTCTTTCAGACTTCTAACTGTTCTTTGACGCTGCAGCCTCGTTCTCACGTTTCTCAACATTTCTTTAGAAATCTCTTTGAACACAGAAGGTTTTGGATGAGTCTCTTCTAATTTTGAACACAAACATCAGCCTAAACGTTTATGAGTCTCAGCAGGGTGAAATTATGACGAATGTGGAGTTGGATTGACGTAAAAGTCGCATGAATTCCGATCTGGCTGTTCAGACCGAGTGGCATTGCCGCAGATTGGATACGTATCGGATTTCAGTACCACATATGAAAGCATCTCAAATCAGAACTGAAAATGTCAGATTCAGTGTTTTTATCTGTTCACACAGACACACATCTGTGTCACACATGAGGAAAACGGTCAGATTTGGACTTTTACCTGCTGTGTGAACAAAGCCTAATGACTAGTTTTGTGTTTAAGTTCTGTTTTCTGTTTTAATTTTCTGTTTTCTTGATGATGAAGGGAAATAGTTTATATTAAGTGATGCTCTGTAACTCTGAGAAGTCTCAGGTGTCACCAGCACCAACAAAGTCATGCTGTGATATTATCTGAATCATTTCTGACTCAGAGCTCATTAAAACGTGGAGAAAAAGTGCAGATTCTAAACGCTCAGTACAGTGTTTGTAAGTAAAAGAGGAAACATTTTGTTACAATCTGACTTTGATGAAAAGTTATTTTGTGTAATTTTTTTTTTTGGCTAGTTTTTCATTTTTTCTGTTTTTGCTATTTTTTGACATCAAAACAAACAGAAGAAGTGAAAACGGGAGCCTCTCCTTGCGGAACGGAAATCACGTGAATTTACTCATTATATATCTGTGTGATTATGTAATTACGTATAAATCAGTGTGTAATGTAAATGACTGTGACAGACTTTAACATACTTTATTATTTAAGGTAAAATCGATTGGTTGATACTGTTTAATATTAATTGTATTCCAGTTATTTTCTTTAAAGTCCAAACAGATGAACCCAAAGATACTGACTGTGATGCGTGAAAGTGGCTTTGCTTTCCTTAATGAAATTTCCATACTTTCCTATGAGTAAGAATGTATTCACACTCAGCCAAATGAAGGAGTTACAGCAGTGACAGATTAATCCTGCGAGCCTCCATCAGCTTTACTGTAATGAATGTAGGACTTAATAATGAACTGTAAATGTGTAGGATTCAGAAAAGATAATAAACCATGAATAAATGTTTGTTAATTAATAATTACAGTGTCTTTATCGTGTGTTTGTGCTCTGCTGGCGGCTCCTGTCTGCTTTAGTTCTGTATCACTATGATGAGCTTAATTGGATGATAAACAGTCGATTTAATTAACCGTTATTTTCAGAAATGGACGAGTTTAAAGTTTTCTTTCCAGCTGTTCAGTTTAACCAACATACAGAACTCTCAGAAACCAGTTCACTAAACACAGGGTTAATAATAATAATAACAATAATAATAATAATAAAAATAAACTTACAGTTACAGTGAACAATATTTTGTATTAATGAACAGCTTCAGATAACAAATCCAAAATTATCTAGCAGTAGAAGATCACTGTGGTCTGCAAATACATATCAGAACAGGGAAACACGCTTTCCAGGCTTTAGGAATAACACGACCTGTAATAATGCAGAATGACTCACAAGCGACGATCACTGCTCGAAAAGACAAGATGCAGGACGATCTTTCATCTGGGCAAACTGGTCAAAAACTTTTCTCTCAAAGTCACCAATCCATGAATGAATTCACTGTCAGAGCAGGAGCAGGCAAGGAAAGCAGGAGAGTGTTTTAGCTACACTCACAGTTAGCCATGGTTTTCTCTTGAACCTCTCTGGACTGAAGGAGCAGTGTTTGACCTTTCCCGACTGAATGGTGTTGAAACCCTCTGTCTGGTGTGTCCCAAACGTTTAATCTCTAATTTCTGCTCTAATGGCTGGAACCAAATTTAACTTGTATTATTTTTTTACTCGACTCATTATATTGCCTTGCTATTAGTAGTGGCTACCACAGCAGATTAGGAACAATGGCTAACTGTGTAGCAACACCCATACCGTAAACGATGTTACTAAACATCTGGTCGTATGTAAATGTATTAATTTTTTATTAGCTGCTCTCTGTATGGGGCCAGCGTGATCGGCCCCACAACTGGTTATTTAAAGCGTGTTGAACATGCAGCGCGTTTTTAACTGCTCACTTGGTCAGACGAGCTCTGACCGGCCCCACGCTCACCAAACGAAGACTGCTATCAGAAACAGGTAGGGTACTGGCATTTACACAACAGGTACAGGAAGATATTCAGAATGTATCGGACAGACTGACCACTGTCATACCTAATAAACACGCAACAATGTTAGTTATGAAGAAAAATATATATATTAGTTGTTACTAATACTGAATTATTGGTCATGTCATGTACTGCTCCACAGCGACATCTGGCCCCTAATGTAGAGATGCCACTGATTATTATTATTATTATTATTATTATTATTATTATTATTATATACCCTGTGATTGGCTAATAGCCACTAACTCCTACTAGTGGCAGTAATTTATTATAATAATCAATAATGAGTAATTATTATTATTAATAATAACAATGATAATAATATGTAATGAAATAACTGATATTACTCATTACACCAGTTGAACCTGATACAGACACACTCTGGTCATCTGGAGTCTTATGTTTGTAGTGAAAGAGTGTAATCAGTTCAGCCAATCAGAACAGAGCTCATTTACATATATCAGTCTAAAAGACAGTAACAAAGCAGCCTGTATAAATGTAAATATAAATATAAATTATTATAATGTATTATTAGAACAATTATAATAATTATTGTTGTATGTCTGATAATTAAGATTTGTAGCTCTCCCTCCTGCCTGTGATTGGCTAGCACTAGTAGACCCACACCCCCTACTGTGATTGGAAGACAAAAGCCCCACCTGGCTCATAGTAGCCCCGCCCTTTGTGCTATGATTGGCTAGCAACAGCCCCACTTCTTGCATGTGAAAGGTGGCCCCGCCTGCTGTGCTCTGATTGGCTACTATCTAGACTGCTTTTCTAAATACGATGAAGTGAATTCTAGCCCTGTGATTGGCTAATCACAGTTCATTACTCCTGCGCTGTGATTGGCTGGTGTTAGAAGCTCCTCAGCCCCGCCCCGTGTGTTCTGACTGGGTGGATGTGGCCCCGCCTCCCCTGCTGTGATTTGCTGTCTGTGTGCTGGACTCGGGGAGTGAGGCGCGCGCTCTCAGAGTCTGTGCAGGAGCGCAGCGCGTGCGGAGCGGAGAGGTGAGGCTGCTGGACTGATGGAGACTGAGCTGGTGAGATAGTCACACAGTGGAGGTGATGGTGGTGATGATGATGATGAGCTCCGGGATGAAGATGAAGATGGATGAGGCGCAGGCTTTGGCGCGGAGCTGCGCGAGCAGACCGGATTTCGTCCCGTGCGACGGCTCCGTGTGCGCCACTCACTCTCACGGGAAGTGCTTCAGACTGCACTGGTGCTGCTGCCTGGGCTGGTGTCACTGTGAGTACAACCACACACACACCTCACACATCCACTCTCCAGCTGTTCGGCTTTTACATTGTTTACCCTGCTGACAAAATTCACAGAAACCATTACAAGTCTGCGCTGGTTTCTGTTGGTGTCCAGTACTCAGTAATGGTATTGTGTGTTCTCCTGATGTGATGATTTCACAGTGTAAAGGACTCTAATGGTCTAACAGGTGTTCTGATTCTAGATGCACCTGCTGATTTCCTACAGGAAGCTAGTCGTCCCTAACAGTAACCATTGAGCCAGTTCCCAATAGAAAGCAAAACCATCAGGTTTTAATCCTAATGGTTCTGATGGTCTTTTTTTCAGCAGGGTAGTTCTCCCATGCAAAGTCCACACGCTGCAGGTCTGTGCACATGAACACGACTGACACAAACTACACTCAGCTACACTCAACAACACCCAACTACACTCAACTACACTCAACTACACTCAACAACACTCAACACCCAACTACACTCAACTACACTCAACTACACTCAACAACACTCAACACTCAACTACACTCAACTACACTCAACAACACTCAACACTACACTCAACTACACTCAACTACACCCAAGTACACACAACGACACTCAACAACACTCAACAACACCCAAATACACTCAACTACACTCAACTACACTCAACAACACCCAAATACACTCAACTACACTCAGTTACATTCCACTACACCCAACCTCACTCAGCTACACCCAGCTACACTCAACAACACCCAACTACACTCAACGACACTCAACAACACTCAACAACACCCAAATACACTCAACTACACGCAACTACACTCAACTACATTCAGCTACACCCAACTTCACTCAGCTACACCCAGCTACACTCAACTACACTCAGCTACACCCAGCTACACTCAGCTACACTCAACTACACTCAGCTACACCCAGCTACACTCAACTACACTCAGCTACACCCAGCTACACTCAGCTACACCCAGCTACACTCAACTACACTCAGCTACACCCAGCTACACTCAACTACACTCAGCTACACCCAGCTACACTCAGCTACACCCAGCTACACTCAACTACACTCAGCTACACCCAGCTACACTCAGCTACACCCAGCTACACTCAACTACACTCAGCTACACCCAACTACACTCAGCTACACCCAACTACACCCAGCTATACTCAAGTACACCCAACTACACTCAACTATACTCAACTACCCCAACTACACTCAACTAGACCCACCTACACACAACTACCCTCAACTACTCTCAATTACACTCAACTACACCCAGCTACACTCAGATACACCGAATGACATTTAGCTGCACCCAACTACACCTAACTACGCTCAACTATACTCAACTACACCCAGCTACACCCAACTACACCTAACTACACTCAACTATACTCAACTACACCCAGCTACACCCAACTACACCTAACTACACTCAATTATACTCAACTACACCCAGCTACACCCAACTACACTCAACTATACTCAACTACACCCAGCTACACCCAACTACACCTAACTACACTCAAGTATACTCAACTACACCCAGCTACACCCAACTACACCTAACTACACTCAAGTATACTCAACTACACCCAGCTACACCCAACTACACCTAACTACACTCAACTATACTCAGCTACACCAAGCTACACCAAGCTACACCCAGCTACACCCAACTACACCCAGCTAGACTCAACTATACTCAACTACACCCAACTGCACTTAGTTACACTCAGCTACACTCAACTACACTCAGCTACACCCAACTACACTCAACTACATTCCACTATACCCAACTTCACTCAGCTACACCCAGCTACACTCAACTACACTCAGCTACACCCAACTACACTCAACTATACTCAGCTACACCCAACTGCACTTAGTTACACTCAACTACACCCAGCTACACTCAACTATACTCAGCTACACCCAACTGCACTTAGTTACACTCAACTACACCCAGCTACACTCAGCTGTTGTGTTACTGTAGGTGCAGAGTGACTTACGCTTCATATGTGGTTCATATAGGGGTGAGATGGGGATTGTTGATGTGAGCCCGTGAGTTCAGGTGTGCTGTGTGAGTGACGGCCATTCGACCAGTACACTGTGTATCTACCTGCCGTTCAGCAGCCTAACGGCCTGGGGAAAGAAGCTGTCTCGGAACCGGCTGGTTCTGGGCTTTGTTCTTCTGTGCTGCCTGCCCCTCGTGGCCTGGGTGGGTGGAGTCCTTTATGATCCTCCTAGTCGTCTTCAGACAGTGACTGGGGTATAACTCCAGGAGAGACGGGAGCTGAACCACAGTGATGGGCTGGGCTGTCCGGACCACCCACTGCAGAGCTTTGTGTTGTGCAATCATGAAGATGTCCGATCACTCCAGTGAGGAGCTTTGATGTGAAGGTGTTGTGAGGTTTGTGGTCAGTCAGGTGATTGAGGTGTGCAGTGTTGGTGAATGTAAAGGTGCTTTTACCTTCTATACTCCTCATATGTTGATCTCCTGAGGTTCATCACTGTCCCAGTGTATGAGATGTAGCCAGCGTGGAATCAGGGGTCCCGTTACTACCTGGGTGGAGGAGAGGAGGCATTGCTCTGTTTGATTATTTTGAAAATAAGAGAACATTGTTTTGTCTTAATTTCTTTTTGAGCATATATTTTGCACGTCATGGATATGAACACTATAACATGTACAAGTGTGTTTTTTTTTGCTTAAGATGCAAAATATTAGGACCCCCCAATGATGTTTCACTGCTCATCTAATGGACCTTCACCCCAGAACATTAAATGGAACATTAAATTTATACATATTAAGCAGCGTTTTATTAATAGAGCTTTTTAAGACCCAAAGACGCTTTACAACGGAACCATAAAATTGTAATAAAACAGTTTGTATTAATAAAGATCAGCAAGAAAACACATAAAAATGTACCTGTCAACTGCATCACTCTAACATTCCACACTTTACTGGATTAAGACAATCTGTGGATTAACTGGACGCCTGAAATTCAAGAAATCACTGTAAATCTGATCTCACTTCAATCAGAACAGCTTTATGTTCCAGCACGTGATCTCAGATCTGCAGATACTGACCTTCTACAAACACCTTCAGTAAAATACAGAAAACGTGGAGAGACTCTTTCAGTTATTCTGCTTCTAAACTGTGGAGCTCAGTTCACCGTTTATCAGACAGTCGAGCTCAGAGCTCAATAAACTCAGAGCTTTAATAAACATCTGAAAACGCAGCTCTTTAACTCAGCGCTGCAGTAAAACTCTACGGCTCTTTGGTCTTTATCTTTTATATTGATTTGTGTCATTTTCTTATGATTTCAAATTACTCATAATTTCTTGTATTAATGTTAAGCTTTATCTCCTGTCTGTAAAGCACTTTGAGCTGCCACCGGCATGAAAAGTGCTCTATAAATAAAGATTATTATTATTATTATTATTATTGTTATTATTATTAATAATGTTATTATTAATCTCACATTCACAGTTCATGCACTAATAACTGTTAGACAGTCATTAATTAGTTTGCCAAGTCAGATGTACCCAGTTTCTCCCCCCTCGAAATATAGTCAATGATCCAAAACATGTTTGGTGTCTGAAGTTTGGCTCTTCAGTTTTCACACTGGAGCTATTAGGGAACATTTCTTCTGAAGACTGAATTCAGCTACACTCTTAAAAAAGAAAGAAAGGTTCTTCAAAGGTTGTTAAGTAGCGGGAATGGTTCTATTCAGAACCATGAGTTCTATATAGAACCATTTGAATGCTTGAATGGTTCTTTGTGTAGTGAAATCTTCAGATTAATCAAGAATGTGTTGCATTTGGTTCCATGTAGAACCTTTTTAAAAAGGTTCTATAAGGCACCAAAAAAGGTTCTGTTATTTTTACAAGCTTGACAGTGTAACAATAGCAGAACCCTTTTTGATGCTATATAGAACCATATACAACACATTCTACATCAATCTGAAGAACCATTTCACCAAAGCATGCAAATGGTTTTATACAGAACTCATGGTTCTTAACAGAACCATTCCCTTGACTGAAGAACCATCTTTTTGAAGTGTGTACTTTAAGGTCACCCATTGCAGACACAGCTTTAATCTCCATAGAAAGCCATTAACCAATAGAATGGGACGCTCTGGAGCAGCTGCACATGATCCTAAGGTCTCCATGCCCAGTGCCAAGAGTGGGCTAGAGGGGTCTAAATCTCCCCAGCATTGGGCTGTGGAGCAGTGGAACTGTGTTCTCTGGAGTGATGGAGCTCCATCCAGTACCTTTGGGATGAGTTGGAGTGATCCAGAACTGACCATCCAACATCAGTACCTGACCTCACTAATGTTCAATCAAATCCTCACAGCAGTGTTCCAACATCTAAAGTCTTCCCAGAAGAGTAGAGGCTGTTACTGCAGCACAGACTCACTATTAACACCTTCATTTCAGAAGAAACACTGGAGTCTACAGACGTTTGGACACATAGTGCAGTTATCAAGTAATAGAGGCTTATACACCACCAATTAGCATGATGCTAACTGCTTGCTTAAAGCCTCAAACTGTGCGGAGGTGTTCAATAATCTCTAATAGACTTGATTAAGTTGTTTCTGACACTGTATGAGATGCTGAGATCTATAAACATGGACTACAGTACTTTAGCGTAGCTGAAACAGTAGCAGCTCCATCCTCAGGACTGAACTCTGTCTGTATGCGATGCTGTCAGTTATTCGGTTGTGGAGCTCGGATGATTTTGTGTCTGCCTGTCTGGATGATCTCATACAGTCGGCTCTCTCAGAGAGGAGAGAGGGAGGATCTGATGGGGCTTCATTTCCTTCTAACAAACGACAGACTCACCAAACTGTGACTGGAAGCAGCGAGTCAGTCAGCTGTTGCCTGTGTCTGTGGTGCCAATTAGACTCCACTGTAATGTGCTACAGTGAAACAGACCCAGCTGTCAATATCAAACACAGACAGTCATGCTGGAATTTTAGATTAGA